AGCATAGGCTGCCGACGTTTTGCTTTGTCGAGTACAGACGTTTTTTTAAAACCCTCCCTCCGACCATTACCCTTTTTGCACCAAACAAGAGATCTGAGTCCACCGAAAGCGAGGAAAGACATGTGCCTGAATTTTTTTAAAAAATGGAGTAAGTCCCGCTTCGTGAATCAGTTTTTGCATTTTCCAGGTTCCTCCCAGGTCACCGTGGGCTGTGGAAACGCCACTTGGCATGCTCTGCCGGGCGGCCGGCGTTCGGGGTCCCCTGGGCGAGGTCCCCCCCGTGGCATCCGACCCTGGCTGCTCGGTCCTGGCTTCCGGCTGGCCGGGGCATGCTCCGGCGGTCTCAGCCCGTGGGGGAAACAGGTCCCAAACCCTCGGCCAGAAAGTCGCCGTGACGACGACCTTCCCACCCCACAAAGGCAGCCCGAGGGTGGGCGCGTCACCCTACGCTCCCCGACACACCCGCGGCCGAGCCTCATCTCTGGCGTGGCCGGAGCCCGTGGCGCCGCGGGCACAGCGCCGGCACTCAGCAGACACCCGCGCACCCACCGCGCCCGAGCGGGGCCTCGCACGGCCACCGACACTGCACGGCGGCCGCCTCAGACCCCGGTGGCGGCAGGCAGACACCCCGTCCTGTCCTCTCTTCCCTGCTGTTCTACATCCTGGAAATCTTAACAGAAACGTGGAAAAAAATGACAGAATCGTCACTGACGCGGAGCCCGTAAGAAACGTGACCGCCTGCGGTCTGCTGAGATGATGGAACCACATACGCCACTCACCAGAAACACCATCAAGAACCGTGCCCAGGGTTGCTCGTGGGTGTCCCCGGGTGCGGGTCGCGGGCGCGAGTCGAGGGCCCTTCCCGCCATGCTTTCTGCCCGTTTCGGGGTTTGCTACACTTGGGGGAACCTCTGTGAACAACGCGGCTCAAGGCTTGGTGTCCCCAGTATCCCCCCTTCGCCGCCCTGCCTGGGGAGCCGAGAGTGGCTCCTGCCTTGCTTTCCCCAGCTCGGGAGGGGAGCGGGCTTCCCTGTTCCTCGGAAACGTGTCCGTCAGCACAGCCACAGGAGAGGAAACACCCGCCGCTCCGTCCCAGGGGCTGGGGGCTTGGGGACAGCTCCCGGCCGGGAGCCCAGGCGCTCGCTGCTGCCCGAAAGCTGCACAGAGGGCGGGGGCAGGGTGTTCCAGGATGCGGGATAGAGCCCCAGGGTGTCCCAGATGAAGGGACGTTGGGCATCACCTCTCTCGCTACGCAGATAAGAAAATGAGGTTCAGAGAGGCAAAGCGACCTGCCTCAAGTCACACAGCACACCCGTAGCTAAGGTGGCACTTGATCTGCTCAATCAACTCCCGAGCCCCCCAGCGCCGGGTCCCGTCCACCTTTCTCCTCCAGGGCCCTCCCGGCCTCCTGCTTGTCGCGTGGGCCGAGATGGCGGCGGCTGCAGCCGCTCCCTGGCTTCCCGTATGCGTCGCCAGGTTTTGCAATCGTCGCTGCGCTTTCCAAAGGGAAACATGCTTTGGTTTTTCTTTGTCTTTTTTCCTGCTCAATCGAAGAAATCCGAGAGCCCTTCCTAATTGCTTGGTCAAGACCGCAGACAGGCAGCGAGGCACGCCATGAACGCGATCACAAGTCCCGGGGAGCCTGAGGTCACTGCCGGCCTGGAGAGAGATGGGACCCCGGGCCTGACGCTGGGCCTTGCTCAGCTCACGGGCCCAGAGTTCCCGGGAACAAGGGCTGTTTGCCAAGTTCCCCAGCTCACGGCGGCGGCGGGCCCCTGTCGGGAAGGGCTGAGGGACGGCCGCGGGTGCCAACTGAGCCCCTGGGGAAGAGGGCTCAGCCAGAGCGGAGCCTGCAGCCTACACCACTCTGGGGCAGAATCCGCTATGTGTAGCTGAGCACATGCACCTTCGACTACACTTCCCAGCCTCCTTTGTAACCAGGTATGGCCATGTGACTAAGCTCTGACCGATGGGATGTGCACAACCTAAGAAAGGAGAACGCCCTTCCTTGCCCCTCCCTTCTTCTTGCTGGCCAGACGGCACATGTGATGGCTGGAGTTTCAGCAGCCATTTTGGACCATGAAGCAACTGTGAGAACCAACAGAAGGCCAAGAGAGGAGAAACCTGGGCCCTGACATCATGCAGCCTCACAGAAGTAAGAAAAAAATTTTCCATGTCTTTTTAAAGACATGATTATTTGGAGTTTCCTTTTTTACTTGTGGCCAGCACCATTCCTAAGTAAGACACCGTCTTTCGGTTGGGGAGGGGTTGCAGTCATTTGCAGCAGAATCCTAGAGGGGACCTGCTATGTGGGAGGGGCGGGGCAATCCCTGGCATGGGACTGAAAATTATTATGCACAATACTGATTGCTGGCATGTATCGTCGTGTACGTGTGAAACACTTAGCCCGGTACCTGGCACGGGGTAAGAACGGAATACATGTCAGCAGTTGTACTGTCACTGAAGCTGAGTCAAACCGTGTACACGTGGCAAGCATACAAAGGGCCCAGGCTCAGAGGGAAGAGTGCGGGTAAGGCACGGGCATGGGAAGAGCCCAGACTGGCAACGCAGCGACATCACCAAGCCCTGGGTCAAAGTGCCCTACGGACGTTATTTCACACGGTCCCCCGAGACACAGTGGGGTAGATATATTGCTGTCTCCATGACAACGAGCAGCCTGGGCGACTGGGAGGGTCAGGACGCTTTCACTTTCTAAAGTTTCTAACATGGTGACCCAAGCCTCCGCCCTCTCTCTCAGACCCCTGCTCTCTCTTCCCCGCCACCCCTGACGCTGTGTCCCGACCTCCCGTCCCCTGCGGTGCCGCCCCGGGGGTGGGGGGGAACAGGGGTCACCTGGCCTGTCCCTGTCCCCACCCCGTGGCGGGACCCTGCTCTCTGCTGCCCCCACGTGGCCAGTGGCTGTAGCGCGGGAGGGCTGGGAAGCAGGACCTGGATGGAGCCTGCAGCAGATCTCTTTTAAGGGACTGGCTCACGTGACACAGAGAAGACTGTCCCTAAAGCGGGCACCTGAGGGAACTAATTCACCGCCGGACGTTCCAAAGCATAAGACCCAGTCCTTTCTCTCCGGAGCTGACCAGAGGACAGAGGACGCAAGACGCCAGCAGCGTGTTTGTGTGACATGGGCAGGGGGTGCAGTTGTGTAGGAGGGACACAGGGCAGGGGTGAGGTCAGAGGCCTCCAGGGAGGCCCCACGGCCAGCCAGGCGAGGGGAGAGACAAGCAAACATGACGGGGGGGGGTGCGGTGTTCACTCTCTTGCAACCCTGCGTTGGTTTCTGAGGCTGCTGTGACAAAGTGACCCTGAGTGGCTTAAAACCACAGAGTTTATTCTCTCCCAGCGCAGTCTGAAGTCAAGGCGTGGGCAGGGCTGTGCTCCCCGGGAGGCTCCTTCCTGCCTCCTCCAGCTCCCGGGGGCTGCCCCGAACCTTGGGGTCCGTTGGCTCACGGCTGCACACCCCAGCCTCTGCTGTGTGGTCACACGGCCACCTTCCCGGGCGCCTCTCCGATTCCTCTTCTTTTTTTGAGACAGAGTCTCACTCTGTTGCCTAGGCTAGAGTGCCGTGGTGTCAGCCTGGCTCACAGCAACCTCAGACTCCTGGGCTCAAGTGATCCTCCTGCCTCGGCCTCCCGAGTAGCTGGGACCACAGGCATGCGCCACCATGCCCGGCTAATTTTTTCTATGTATATATTAGTTGGCCGATTAATTTCTTTCTATTTTTAGTAGAGACGGGGTCTCGGTCTTGCTCAGGCTGGTTTCGAACTCCTGACCTGGAGCGATCCTCCCGCCTTGGCTTCCGAGAGTGCCAGGATTCCAGGCGTGAGCCACCGCGCCCGGCCTGATTCCTCTTCTTATAGGGACACCAGTCCTTGGATTAGGACCCACCTGACTCCAGTGTGACCCAGCTAATTACAGCTGCAATGACCCTATTTCCCAAGAAGGTCACATTCTGAGGTCCCAGGGGACATGCATTTCGGGGGGACACTACTGCACCCCACACAGCTCCCAAGAGTGAAGGGAGTGAAGGCAGCAAGAATTGGAGGGATCGACCACGCCGCACAGAGAGGGACCGGGCTGCTGCCACCCCACCCCCGGCATCACAGAGGGAAACCACGCTGACGGGCAGAGCCACCCGTGGGATCGGCGGTGGCACGCCCCAGAGCGGGCGGGCACCGCGGGGACGGAGCTGGGCTGGCGCGTGCGCCGGTCGGACCCCACGGGAACCCAGCACACAGGGACAACTGAGAGCGCGTGAGGAAGAGATACCTGGGAAAGCGGGGAGGGGCAGGCGACCAGCGCGCAGCATGGCGGGCACCAGGGATCAGCCACACAGGGAGGCCGCCGGCCTGCGGGCAAGGAATGTCAATGCCTGCCTGGCCCCTGCCTCTGTCCCTGCACCCCACACCAGGGACTTACGTACTGTCACCATCCTGTTTTTTGCAAGGGAGAAGGCGGAAGCCCAGAGAGGTCAGGTGACTTGCCCAAGGTCAGCCAGCAGAGCTGGGGTCTGGGATTTGAACCTGTGTTTGGCTGACCCCAAAGTCCCTGCTTTCACACATGCTCCAACAGAGAGAAGCTGCTCCGTGGGGAAAACCTCCAAACGTACAAGAAGTAACGGGAGGGGATCGCGAGTCACCGGGCAGCAGCGGCAACGCCGGCCGCTGTTGCTTCCCGGCGCCTGCGCCCTCTTCCCGCCGCGGCCTGGCTGCCGCCGGCACGTCGCTGCTCTTTAAAACGTGTATACATCCAAACACGCAACCCGACAGTCCGCAAAGGTGTTCTACTCGCGTTCGTGCAACTCCGTACATGCTTTTATACAGGCGGCCTCAAACTGCGGCCCGTGGGCCACATGCCGCCCGCCGGGGACATTTACCCGGCCCGCGGGTGTTTTTGCCGCCGCTGGCTGTCCTGCTTAGCAGCCGGCTCGTCCCGGGCCCACAGTGCGCACTCTCCAACGGCCTGAGGGACGGTGAACTGGCCCCCTGTTTACAAAGTTTGAGGACCTCTGATTTTATATTTGCTTCTCTTCGAGTCAGCTTTATTTTCTTGCTCTACTAACGACGAGCAGTTTCTTTAATAAGGGAAAGGACAATAGTCGTGATGAAAATGTCAGACGCTCCTTCCCGTCCCCTCGGTCCACACGCAAGGCCGCGGGACCACCCAGGTCCACTCGCGGGTTTCCACGCCCCTCCCGCTGGCCGGCCCCGGGCCCCGCCCCTCGCGGGTAGGAGGGAGCCCGGCTGAGCCCGGGCCTGAGTCCCCGCTGCCCCTTGGGGAACCCCAACCACTGCCCCGGGCACACAAAAGAACCTCGGTCTTCAAAGCCAGGGGGCCTCTTTGGGGCGCCCCTTCTCTGAGTGGCGGGGGAAGGCTGGCCTCTGGGGAGGCTGGCCCCTGGGAGCCGTTGCCCGGGCGACCAGCAGGCGGCTCCTCCCAGGGCCTGCTGTGGGCGGCCACGTCGCCTGGCAACCAGGTGGCAGCGTCCCCTGAGCCCGGACCACACAGTTGAGCCCAGCCCTGCCTGGCTCCTCCCTGGCCCGCGGGACCCCTGGGGCCCGTCCTCACTCCTCAAGACCAGGACAGGCTCGATCACAATGAACATCGTCCTCTCCAGGTGAGTGGCCTTGTGCCGGGGTTCGGGGGTGCTGCACCAGGAAGGGTGAGCGCAGCGGGACTGCTGGGGGTAGTAGGGTGGGCTCCCCCTGGCCCCGTCCCCACCGCAAGGACCCACCTGGGGGAACAAGGCTGCAGCCGCTGTGTGACCTTTAGCAAGATGCTTCACCTCTCTGGGCCTCGGGGTGCTCCATTCTAAAGCGGCGATAGCAGCAGCCCCTTACCCACAGGGTAGAGGGGTCTACGCAGCACGTTCTCCGGGCCAACTAGGGCGTGCCAGCGGGCCAGGGGGCCACTGCTCAGAGTTTCCGGCTTCCACGGTGCTATTTGAGGGCTGCACGGGGGACTTTGGTCAGAGAGAGGGGGCAGCCTGGGGACGGCAGAGGGGAGAGACTGTAGGGAGGTCCAGGAGGGAGGCCGGGCTGAGGCCGGGGAGGCCGCGGTGAGCAGGTGCCGGGCCGGGAGCAGGAGAAGAGTCAGCGAGAGGGGGAGAAGCCCAGGGCGACTCTAGGGGGCAAGTGACGGCGAGAACTAGAGGCCACAGCTGCAGGCTGGGGCGGGAGGGAGGCGGCGGCTCCTCAGGGCCGAGAAACTGTCCCGTGTGTGGCTGTCATGGGGACGCCCGACAGTGCACATGATGTGCGAGGCCAGCGTGTGACCTTCAGTGAACACGCGTGGACGCCGCTCCTCAGTGGCTCTGAACGGACCACGACAGCCCGGATGGTCACAGCAGGCACCCACGTGGCAGGGCTTCGTGCAAGCTCTGTGCCTCCCACTCCTCGTGGTTTTCTTTTTGAGACAGAGTCTCACTCTGTTGCCCGGGCTAGAGTGAGTGCCGTGGCGTCAGCCTAGCTCACAGCAACCTCAGACTCCTGGGCCCAAGCATCCTCCTGCCTCAGCCTCCCGAGTAGCTGGGACTACAGGCATGCGCCACCATGCCCGGCTAATTTTTCTATATATATTAGTTGGCCAATTAGTTTCTATTATAGTAGAGACGGGGTCTCGCTCTTGCTCAGGCTGGTTTCGAATTCCTGACCTTGAGCGATCCTCCCTCCTCGGCCTCCCGGATTGCTGGGATGACAGGCGTGAGCCCCCGCGCCCGGCCTCACTCTGCTTCTCTTAAGAGCCAAGTCCACATGTGTGTTCCCGCCCGCCTGTGACAGCCCAGGCCAGGCCCCTCCTCTGCCTCAATGGGCTCATGCTGTCCCCTCCAGTGCCATCCCCGGCACCTGGGCCCCGACCTGGCATGGGCCACTCACTCAGGAGGCCGGCGGGTGGTGGCTCCTGGTGGCTCCCCTGCCCGTGACAGCCCCGCCCCCCCTTCCCCAGGGACGGCCAGGTGAGGGTGATGGAGGACACGGTGGCCCACGCCGAGAAGCACTTCGGGCAGTTCTGCTCGCTGCTGGCCGCCTACACGCGCAGGACGGCCCGGCTGCGCGACAAGGCGGACCAGCTGGTGCGGCAGCTCTTCGCCTTCGCCAACACCGAGGGCCCCGGGCTGCGGGCCGCCATGAAGGACTTCGCCGAGGACCTGGCCAAGGTGCAGGACTACCGGCAGGCCGAGGTGAGCGCGGCTGGCCCGCAGTGGCTGCTGCCGGGGGGCGTGTCTCAAAGGTGTCGCTTGCACCCCGCCACCCTTGGGGTCACCCCTCTGCCCACTGGGTCAGGGAGAGGAAGCTGTGCTGATCGGGCCAGGCAAGGAGCCCCGGGAAGCCAGCCCTGGGGGCTCCACGGTCCCCGGACAGAGGGCAGGTCGCAGGGCCCACGGGAGCCTGGAGAAGGGACAGAAACCCCACAGGGGAGTGGCGGGTGAGGAGGCTGCGGGTGTCATGGAAGTACGATTTCTCACCCCTAAGATGGGACTAGCAGCTGTCCCTCCCCCACAAGGCCGTTGGGAGGATTAACCCGAAACGGGCATTTACACCACCGGTTCTCCCTGCGGGCGGGGCCGGCAGCATCCGCCCCACCTGGGAACCCGATAGACAGGCAGGTTTGGGGGCCACACCCTGGACCTCCAGAATCAAACTTGGGTGGTGCCACCAGGGCGTCAACCCGTGTCTGCTCTAAAGTGACACCACTGATGCCAGGCTCGGGGCGATCACTGTCACCGTCACTGACTATTCCCTGAAGTAGCGAAGGGACCGGCTCATGGGGAGGCCCCCCCGCCTCTTCCCCTTGACCCTGGGATTTCCAGCCCCAGGACAGAGTGGCAGCGAGGGGTGGCCTCGACCGCAGCCTGCGCCCCGCCCCCTCCCTGCCTCTGGTCCCGGCACCCCCGATGGCCCGCACCTTTCCGTGCTCCCTGCACCCACGTGGGGCCAGCGAGCCCACCCCACCCCCCTGGGCAGTCCGGAGAATGGGAAAAGAGTGCTGGGCCTGGAGTGGGAAATGCAGATCTAAGTCCTGTCTCTGCCCTGCTGTGAGCTCTACAGACGTCCTGTCCCACATCGAGGCTCAGTTTTCTCATCTGCAAAGTGGGGCTGTCACCGCCTCCCTGCCTGGCAGTTAGGAGACGGGCAGAGGGCTGCTGCCGCCCCCTCTCCTGCCCTCCCTGGTAACGACCCCGAGTCCGGCGCCAGCAGTCCGGTGTCCATGGGCCACACACGTCCCAACGGGTGGTCGTGCAGCCCTGCTGGGTACAGCCGTGACCCCGCTTTCCAGGCGGGAAACGAGGCGTGGTGAGAGTGACCGTACTGCCCGAGCCCCAGGGTGGCAGCCGCAGGCCCTGAGCCCGGGCCGTGCTGCCAGCCCTGCGGGGGCGGGGCAGCTCGGGCTGCCACGGCCCTGGGGGGCTGCTCGGGGTGCAGACGGCGCCTCGCTGGGGTGGGTAGCATCCTGCTCCCTTCCCTCCGATTGCCGGGTGTCCCTAACGCCCCCCAGGTCGAGAGGCTGGAGAACAAGGTCGTCAACCCCCTGAAGCTCTATGGGGCGCACATCAAGCAGACGCGGGTGAGCCGGGCCCCCGGGGCGGGTGGCGTCTGGGTCCTGCCTGGCGGGGACCCGGGAAGCAGCACCCCTCCTCTCTTCCCTAGGCTGAGATCAAGAAACTCAAACGTGCCCAAAATAACGAGATCAAACAGCTGCAGAAGCTGGAGAAACTGAGGCAGAAGTCACCCTCGGACCGGCAGATGATCGTATCCTTCCCCGGGCGCCGGAGGCTGCTGGGCCTGGGCGGCCAGCGTCACAGGCGCTCTGTGGGGTCTCCCCTGGGCGGGGGCCACGACGGGGGCAGGGGACCACCCCGCAGGGCTGCGTGGGCTTAACCTGGTTCCTTAACGGCCCCTGCTCAGTCCCAGGTGAGTGCCACCCGCCCGTCTGCGGCAGGCAGAGTCGCAGGCAGGTAAGGCATGGCGTCAGGAATCGGCCAGGCGAGCTGCGCCTGGGCAGGGGCAGGCGTGTGCGGCCCCGCTCAGGGTAGGAGACTCAAGGGTCAGGGGCCCTGGGCTCTGTCCTGTCGTCCACACTGTCCAGCCGTCACCCGCCCACAGCCCCGGTCTCCTCAGCAGGGCCACCTGTTTCACGCTCACGCCAGGGGGGGCACGTCTGGCATCAGCCCCATTGCCTGGATGGGGAAACCAAGGCTGAGACAGACCCGGGTGGCTGGGAGGCGGCTCACGGCTGGTGGAGGGGCCGGTCCCCTCTGCGGTGTTTGCAACTGAGTGACGTCACCCAGAGAGCGCCCCTGATGGGCCTAAGGCAGCAGTTTTGTCACTGGGGCATTGCTGGTTGTCACGACCGGAGAGAGCCCTGGCACGTGTTAAGTAGGGAATGACCACAGACCCCAAACGTCCGCTGCCCTCCTCCAGCTCCCAGAGGCCGCCCACGTCCCTCGGTTCCTGGTCCCTCCCTCTCCCTCCAGCCGGCAGCCTGCACCGAGCTCCGTCCTCACCCCCCTCTCCCCCTTCCAAGGACCCTGTGACGACACAGGGTTTACCTGACAAACCGGGACGGGCTCCTCGAGGACAGCTGAGAGGCACCGCAGTGCCCCTGGGCCTTGTCCAGCGACGCACTGACAGTTTCCAGGGATCGGGACGTAGACGTCTCTAGGGGGCCGTCGCCCTGCCTGCCACACGGGGTGCTGCCAACACCCTGCAAGGCGCAGGCCAGCCGTGCCCAGGGCGAGGGGTCCAGGCCCAAGTCGGCGTGCGGCGACAGCCTTCCCTGAGCACCTCTGCATGAGCCCCATCCTTGTCCGCCTTGGGTTGGAACGGCACCCGCGCTCCCTGCTCCGCTGGGGCTTCCTGGACGCCAGCCCCTCCTCCACCCTCCCACCCCAGCAGGCAGGCGTTTAAAGCCCTGTTGTAACGAGGAAACTGAGGCCGAGAGAGGTGACCTGCTCAAGGTCACACGGGCAGTTAAGTGGCAAACCCAGAACTCAGCTCCAAGTCAGTTGTCTGGCTCGGCGGCCCGGGCTGGGCCTGGGCTGGGCCGTGTAGGCGCTGGTGGGAGGAGCGAGTGACCTACCCGGACGTGTCCCACGTGCAAGTGTTAAACGCCAGTGAGCGGGAGCACCTGTCACAGCAGCAGCTCAGCAGGTGCCACCGCTTAATCCTCGCCGCCGCGCCGCAGGGCAGGCGTTACCCACGTGCCCTGGGTGCAGGCAAGGCGACTGGGGCTCAGAGAGGCGAAGCGACTTGCTGGAGGTTGCACAGCTGCGACGGGCTGTCCACCTCCACGGCGGCCCCTCCCCTGAGCTCCTGCTCAGCCACCCTCTGACGGCCATACTGGCAAGAGACGATGCCCCATGCAGGAGGCCGGAGGGCCGGCCTAAGGGAGGGGTGGGGAGGCAGGACGGCGTGACACTCCCCCTTGTGTCCCCGGGGCCAGGCAGAGACCAGCGTGCAGAGGGCCTCGGCGGACGCCAGCCGCACCACTCGCCAGCTGGAGGCGGCGGTGGGCACCTTCCAGAGGCAGAAGCTGAAGGACCTGCAGGTGAGGGCGCGGCCCGTGCCGGGAGCGGTGTGGGCTGCCTCACAGGTGCACGCTTTCCGTGTGCACGCGCCAGTGTGTGCGTGCGTGCCTGCCCACACGTGTGAGCATCCTCCAGCGTGTGAGCACACATGTGTGGCCTTGTGCCCGCACAGGCTCCTGGGACAGCTAACCCTGGCCGCAGGGGGCAGGAGGCCGGCTGCTCGGGGCAGCTGTTCTGCACAGCTGGCCTGCCCGGAAGCAGGAGGCCGGCCCGGCGGCGGCCCTGGGCGCGGCTCCCAACCAGGAGGGGTTTGTCTGCCCGCAGCACTCACCCGCCTCCCCCCTTCCCTCCCAGGCGGCCACCCGCAGGGCTGCCTAACTGCCGCCTTCCCCCCCCCAGCCCCAGACGCCTGTCTCTGAACAAGCCTCGCCCAGGCACAGCGGGGTGGGCGCTGACCCCAGACGCCCCCAAGCCCGTGCAACAGAATCCCGCACCCCGAGCCCCAGCTCTTGCAAGAGGGCCACGGGGAGTTGGGGTCTTTCGGGGCAAGCTGATCACAGAGATCCCTCCCCCAACTCTCCACCGCTCTCTGTTTTTCCAAATAGCAGCTCGAGGAGTCTCTCAAAAGGCAGGCCCACTCTGTCACTCCCCCTGTTCTGGGGACAAAGGCCAAGCCCCTTCCCGAGGCTCCTGAAGCCCGGCTCAGCCCTCTAGCCTCACCCTGCAGGTGATCCTCCAAGCTGCAGCGCACCCAGCGCCTTCCTACCTCAGGGCCTTTGCACAGCCTGTGCCTCGCTCTGCACCAAACACTTACTCGTCCCTCAGACTCAGGTTTGCCCTGGAGGAAAACCTTGAGGACCCCAGACTGGCCTGGCCCTTGTTAATGCACTCTGCTCTCCGGGGGACTGGTTACTTGTAGGTTCCACTCACTGGTTAATTTGCAAGTGTTGAATAGGTACCTGCCGTGTGCCAGGCTCTGTGCCCAATGCCTGGACACACGCCCGGCAAGGCAAGGTCCCTGTGCCCGTGGAGTCGACGCCCGGACAGATCTCGTGATCCCTGTGTAACACCTGCTTCCCACCCTGCCTGTTGTCCCATGCTGGGTCCTGGCCACCGGGTCCGGGGCCTGGCACTTAGCAGGTGCTCAGTAAATGCTTGTGGGACGAATGAATGAGTAAATTAACGAATGAGTGAACACAAAAATGAGGCTGAGCAGGGTCCACCGGCTGCCGCGTCCTGCTCCCCAGAAGACCCGCTCCCCGGATGCCTGTGGGGGACAGAGGCCGACGGTCTTGTAGCCTTCAACCTGCAGACACCTGTGCTCCGTCAGCGTGGGCGAGGCCACGGATGAGCCCAGGCGACAGGGCGGAGGAGCACGCAGCCCCGGCACACGCCCGGCGGGGCACTCGGGCGGCGGGATCACAGGCCCAACGCCCCGGCCTTGGACCCTGCAGCTCCACTCCTGGAACCCGCCCCACCCTGCGCCCGCGCACACACAGCTGTGCCCCGCCCCTTGAGCGACATCTGCACCAGGGTCTCCGTGACCACGTTGCGTGTTACAGCGAAGGCCGAACAAAGTCCACGGGACCCAGTGCCGGGGCCTGTCGCAGGCACCGCGGTCGGTCCGCACGGGGAAACGAATGGAGGTGCTTCCTACGTACGCAAAGGTCTCCAGGACCCATTGCTAACTGGAAAAAAAAAAAAATCGGGCTCGGAACACAGACAGGGAGAAAAGAAGAAAACGTACTTAAGCAACCAATGGAGGAAGACACGAGAACCTTCTGGAAGTTACCATCTCAAGGAGGTGGAGGGGACGGGAAGGAAGGGAACAGGATGCTGAGCAGGTCTCCCCACCCAGCACTTTGGCACAGTTGTGATTTCTGAACGGTGCCAATGCGTTTATATGTCCAAACAAAAATAAAATAAAAATAACAATAGCATCGGAATGCCCCTCCCAGGACCCGTCCCCACTGGGACAGCTCGCCCCGCCGTCCTCTCCTTAGTCACCGCCCCCGGGCTCCCCTCTCCTGCTGCTTGTGTAGCTTGGGCTCCTCTCCCCACAGAAGATCTTCTCTGATTTCGTGACCATCGAGATGGTGTTCCACGCCAAAGCGGTGGAGGTGTATTCCGGCGCCTTCCAGACCCTGGAGAACTACCACCCGGAACAAGACCTGCAGGTAGGCCGCGGACCCCCGCTTTCTGTTCGGCGGAGTGGGGGCGAACCGGTCTGGGCTGTGTCCGGACAGACGTAGATTTTGTTGGTCACATTTTGCAACTTTTCTAATTCTGAAGCCTCACTCTGATGAGCCGCTTTGAACGTCTGCCCCGGACGCCGAACCTGGAGGTGGAGGATCTTTCTGAAAGCCACCTGGGTGTCAACACATTCATCCTTGGGATGTTTTTTTTGTTGTTGTGGAAACAGAGTCTCACTCTGTCGTCCGGGCTAGAGTGCCCTGGTGTCAGCCTAGCTCACAGCAACCTCACACTCCTGGGCTCAAGCAATCCTCCTGCCTCAGCCTCCCGAGCAGCTGGGACTACAGGCCACCATGCCTGGCTAATTTTTTCTATATATATTTTTAGTTGGCCAGTTAATTTCTATTTTTGGTAGAGACGGGGTCTCGCTCTTGCTCAGGCTGGTCTAGAACTCCTGAGATCAGACAATCCACCTGCACGGCCTCCCAGGGTGCTGGGATGACCAGCGTGAGCCACCGCGCCCAGCCTTGGTAGAGTTTAGATGCAGAGGCAAGTGCTCGGTATCCACATCTGACCGGATTAAAATCTAGGATGAGCTGTTGGAGTTGTCTGTACCACCCCTCCCCACACCTGGTGTTGTCGAAACGACAATCACTTATCACAGTGACCTTGTGTGGTTTGGGGGTTGAGGGTCTGGGCTGGGCAGGCCTCAGGTGGGTCCCTCGTGCAGAGCAGGTGCAGGCAGCGGGAGGCCGCTCAGTCGCTGCGAAGCCTTCCGCGCACACCCTGTAGAGGGTGACGTTGTCTAGGTACGGCGCAGGCCCCGTGACCTGCAGGGCCCAGCACGGAAGGAAAGCGTGGGGGGCCTTTCGCTCAACACTGATGAAGGTTTCGGGGTGGTGGCTGCGGAGCATTAAGCCCAGCATTGGGCCTTTCTGGGTGTGGTCCCAGGCGGCTGCGTGAGCCGCAGTCCCACAGAGCCTGCCCTCTCTGGGGCCTTAGAGAAGCCCACAGCCAGACCCCTGCCAGTGGCCTGTCCACGTGGCTCGGGCGTCCTTGCTGCAGGGCAGCCGGTTCTAAGAGAGCCATCCTGGCCGGGCGCGGTGGCTCAGGGCTGTAATCCTAGCACTCTGGGAGTGCTAGGCGAGGCCGAGGGGGGAGGATCGCTCAAGGTCAGGAGTTCGAAACCAGCCTGAGCAAGAGCGAGACCCCGTCTCTATGAAAAATAGAAATTAATTGGCCAACTAAAAATATATAGAAAAAATTAGCCAGGCATGGTGGCGCATGCCTGTAGTTTCAGCTACTCGGGAGGCTGAGGCAGGAGGATTGCTTGAACCCTAACCTCACTTGTAACTCCAAGGGCACTTTGCCGTATTCTATTAGAAGTGAATCTCCAAGGCCAAACCCCTATTCAAGGGGAGAGGAATGTAACTCCAGCTCCCAGTGGGAGGAACGTCAGAGGGTTTGAGGGTAAGCTTTAAAACCACCACGTGAGGTTGAAGGAAGATCAGATGGGCTCTCTTGCATTCACTCACCTCTACAAAATGCTCGATAGGGCTGATTTTCCTTTGTGACTATGTACCGGTTGCCTAGCCTCCCTGGGCCTCAGTTTCCCCACCTGTAAGATGGGATGATGATGCCAACTGACGGGGCTGCTGCAGAGGACGTGGCACAGCAAACAGGAAGCCCCCAGACAGGACCCCTGGGTTCCACGGGTGTCCCAATGAGGGGCCTTCCCGCCCCGCCCCACCCCCGTTGTGTTTTCCGGTTGGCTCCAGCCCTCCCTGGTGTCTCCTCCGCAGGATTTCACAGCCAAGATGCAGGGACTTTACGGGCATCACGCCGCTCGGCCGCTCGCTGGCAGCGACCCCTCCCTGCCCGTCCCGTGGCTTCCCACCAGCCAGGTGAGCGCTTGGGTTGGGGGGTTAATCCTGTGACAAAGTGAAGGGACCAGGGGGAGGTCAGGTGGTAGTGACGCAGAGATGGGAGGACGCTGAGAAAGAACATGGATTTGAGAAGAGAGGCTAGGCGGGGCGGGGGAGGGGAGAGTGGGGGTGTCCCGGAGCCCGGCTGAACTTTGCCTTCAAGAGGAACCAGCGAAGCCCCGCCAGCCACGCCAGCCTCCCCTGTGGCCGCCGCGTGTCCCGAGTGCCCCCTAGAGGCATTCTGCGGTGTTCCCACTGTGCACGAGGGTCCAGGCAGGTACACGCCTGCATCCAACATGTGGGCCTCGGGTTCGGGGTTCGGGGTTCAGGGTTGCTCAGAGGTCAGTGTACCGTGTCTCTCTGAAAATAAGACAGGGTCTTATATTTATTTTTCCTCAAGAAGACACCCCGGGGCTTATTTTCAGGAGATGTGTTGTTTTCCCCTCCAAGCCTCAGCGTGCAGCACGCACAGGATGGCCGGGACCTGACAGGGGGAGCCGACCTTTTTGGTGGGGCTGCCCGCACCTGTCTGGCCACCTCTGGGGTAGCAGCTGTCATGATGGGGTGGATGAGAAGGGCTGCTCGTCTTCTTTCCTGCTCTGCGACGACATGCACGGGTTGTGCAGACGCGCTGCGCAGCCATGCCTGTCACTAGGTCTCATTTTCGGGGTGGGGCTTCTATTGCGCACATGCTTAGAAACCCTGCTAGGGCTTATTTTATGGGGAGGCCTTATTTTCGGGGAAACGCGGTAGTAGCGAGGTGCACGCACTACGTGTCGCCCACGGCCCCAGCACTGCCCGCCGTCAAACACGCTCCTGTGTCTGCAGGGACCTGCAAGTGTCCGGCCCAGCATGGCGGGTACACTGACGGCCTCGTGCCAGCCCTGGCAGGTTTAGTCCCACTGAGTGGGGGCAGGGGCGGCCCGCCCCACTCGCGTGCGGGAGGACGGCTGTCCCGGTGGGGAGGCAGAGCGGCCCCCGGCGGACCGTCCGCACCCGGCTCCCACCTGTCTGAGCCTTAGGGTCCCCAGCGACAGAGCTGACGGTCACCGCCTCGCAGGGCTGGGCAGCGTGAGGTGACAGATCTAAGTGAGGTGTTGAAAGCTCTGCCGCTGCTATCACTGATGTCCCTGCTGCGGTTTTGATCGTTGTCACCATCATTCAGAGTGCTGAGAGCGCCGCACAGAGACAGAGAGCAGAGGAGGAGGAGGCGAGCGAGGACGGCTCCGCGGACGAGGCCCCCGTGGAGGACCTCAGGGGACAGGGGCTGCAGACGTAGGAGGAGGATGCCCCACGACAGTCGGAAGAACCGGGCTGGCCCTGGGTCCTGGCAGGCATGTCCTCTGGGCCTCAGTTCCCTCATCTGTACAGCAGGCTGATGTCACCCCCTTGCAGGCTGTCCCCGTGCGGTGCCCGGTGCGGACTCGGTGATCAATAAATGCCCGGCGACTCTCAATGTGACTTCTGTCTCTTGTCCTGCTATCTGATCTGGGGACGCCAGCGGTGGTCAAGCCTGCGCTGATGCGGAGAGCACACGGGTCCGTGTTCTGGGGCTGCGCCAGCAAAGTCCCGCAGACGGGGCAGCATAGCAACCGGGACTTGCTCTCTCGTGTCCCGGAGGCCACAGGTCTGACGGCAAGGTGTCGGTAGGTTTGGTCCTCCTGCGGGCGCTGGGGTCGGTCCTGTTCCTGGGCTCTCTCCCGGCTTCTGGAGGTCACTGTGTCCTCGGACACCTCACCCAGGCTCTGCCTCCATCTCCGGGTGGCCTTCTCCCTGTGTGCATGCGAGGCTGCGTCCCAGTCGCCCCTTTTCATAAGGTGCCTGTCACTAGAGGCCTCCCACGCTCCAGTGTGGCCTTGTCTTGACTGACTGCATCTGCAACAACCCTATTTCATTTTTTTTTTTTTTGAGACAGCGTCTCACTCTGTCACCTAGGCTAGAGTGCAGTGCAGTGGTGTCATCACAGCTCACTGCAGCCCCCAACTCCTGGCCTCCAGCGATCCTCCAGACTCAGCCTCCCGAATAGCTGGGACCACAGGCTTTCACCACCAAGCCTGGCCAATTTTTCTATTGGCCAAGCCAGCTCTTGCTCAGGCTGGTCTCGAACTCCTGAGTTCTAGTGATCCTCCCGCCTTGGCCTCCCAGATCACAGGTGTAAGCCACCGCGCCCGGCCAACCCTATTTCTAAATAAGGTGACATTCTGAGGTATTGGGAGAAAAGACTTCAACATATGAATTTGGTGACAGAGTTCAGCCCACAACACATGGGCATGACGTGCAGGGGTGACCCTGGGAGCAGGACACGTCACAGAAATCCGCAGAGGTCCGGGGCATGGAGGTGAAGGAAGGCGTGGGGGTCTGTGGGCAGGGCGGCAGCCTTCCTGTGCCCCCTTGGTCGTGTTGGAAGATCAATGGGGTCCTCGATGCCACCTCTGGGTCAGCCAGCTCCTCCCTGCCCCTGGCACAACTTGGGGAGACTGAGGCTCAACTGGATTCTGAGCTTCCTACGGTGTGGCTGTCTCTGTCCCTCAACGCCGCCCGGTGCCCGGCAAGTTAGAAAGTGCGGCTGGAGCCTGAGAGCTGGGACCTGCCCTGCCGGCCCACAGCGTCCCCCAGGGCCGGACCCGGTCCGGTCCCAGCAGCTCACAGCATGGAAGTGCCGCGTTTCCTTAGTGACGATGGAAGGACTGTGAAAGTTCCAAATGAGGCTAACTCCTCCACGACAAAACGGAACAGAAACTTCTCTTCCTACCCACTTTGCTAGGCTGCCCGTGGGCCTGCTCAGCTGCAGAACCCTCTCCAGGGGCCGGGGTGCTTTAAACCGGGGGCAGCCGCGCTCGGGGTGGCTTCTGAAGCCTCAGCCGGGAGGGGTCGCCCCTCGGCCTCTCTTGCTGGCCGGGTGCCCAAGTGCTCCATTGCCTACTCCATCGGGGTGTTTGCCATGGCGTCCCACACAGCAACCGTGGGGGACAGGGGTCCTGGTAGGATCAGCTTCTTCACCACAGTGACTTTGTTACTTGAGAACCAACCAGTTCCAGGACACCTCCCCAGGGAAGCCTTCCCTGACTCTACCAGGCAGGATGCTCACTGCACAAATAACTAGAACTTTCTAGATGTTCTATAGAATCTATTGTATTGTTTACTACATGTAGTAATGTTACAGTATATGTTTATCACATGTAGTTACATGTGTATATATACACACATATATATACCTTTATATAAATGCGCATCATTCTTTTAAAACCCCAGCTGCGTCCCAACCCCACTAGCCAGTTTCTGAGGGACAGTCTGTTTGCTTGTCATCTTGTGGTCCTGGAGCCTGTTGGTGTTCATTAACCATAAGCTGACGGGGTTGCGGGGGCACACTCCCCCTCCCCTCTGGCCCTCGTGCATGACACCAGCCGTCCTTAAGTACAGGCAGACAGCTGGCTGAGAGCCTCCTCTGTCACTGTCTCCATGGTCATTTGAAAGAAGGCAACAAAATTCAGAGATTCTAGCCGGGTGTGGTGGCTCACACCTGTAATCCCAGCGTTTTGGGAGGCCGAGTCAGGAGGATTGCGTGAGGCCAGGAGTTCAAGGCCAGCCTGGGCAATGTAACGAGACTCCATCTCTACAAAAAACTTAAAAAGTTAGCTGGGCATTGTGGTGGCGTGTGCTTGTAGTCCCAGCTGCTTTGGAGGCCAAGACGAGGGGATCACTTGACTCCCAGGAGTTTGAGGCTGCAGTGAGCTTTGATTGCACCAGTGCACTCTAGCCCGGGTGACAAAGCCAAGACACTATCTCAAAAAACTCTTTTTATTTTGGAGATTCTCTCTTTCTGGGCCCACAGGAGGTGAGAGGGTGGGGCCAGGAGCAGCCGCCGCACCGAGCGTCTCTGGGGCCACAGCGTCTGGGCTCCTCTGCAGATTCTCCTGCTTTTCCTCCTAGTCGCTGAGGACACCTCCCTGCCTGCTCCTGGAGCAGCTGGCACAGATGTGCACGTGTGGAAGAAAACAGCGTCCCCTGCTACCGCCCGTGAAACTGAACACTAGCCAAGGCCGGGGCGAGACGCTTCCCGAGGGGACCAGGAACACTTCCAGCCCCGTGGCGGGGGAGAGAGCGGTGGCACCCCGCACACGGGAAGCACAGAGCATGAATCCAAGGCAAAAACACCGTCCAGCGTGTCCCAGAGGTCTCGGGCAGTGTCAAGCTTTCATAAGGGCAGACGCATAAAGGTCAGGACTTGCAAAGAGACACCGCCTGAAAGCTTCGCTGTTTACATCGCTCCGGTCTTGTGAATGTCGAACGATACATTTTACAGTTATTCCTATAAAGTTTGGTCCTTTTTCTTTCTTTCCCTGGGTAGGAAACTTGCCAGGGTGCAGCTTTCGGCAATCTTGTCGCTGGGAGAGCAAGGGAGCCGGTTGGACGGACAGAGGTGTGGCGTGGCAGAGCAGTTGGGTTTCAGTCTCACTGGAACGGCCTGGGACCAGTGACACTTTCCTTCCCAGCTTACAAATAAAGAAACCGAGGCTCAAAGAATGATTTGGCTGACGGCATACAGTGAGCTGGCAGGAGGTGGGACCAGACCTGGCCCTTGGTGGTCTTGCCCTGAGCTCTTAGGGTCCTGCTGCTCTCCCAGGGGCCCTCCTCCCTCCTGCCTAGAATTCGCCCAGCTGGGGAGTGCGAGACCGGCCAGGCCCCTCTCCTCACGCTTGGCTAGAGGGGCAGAGAGCCGGGATATGCAGATCAGCCCGCTGCCACTCAGGCGGCTGGGGAGGAGACCCCGAGTCCCAGCATCCTCCCTCCCAGATGCCTCCTGCTCCCCCGGCTCTCTGGCCCCTCTCTTTAGGCCAGGGGTTTGCAACATGGCCACACTTCTTACAATCGGAAAGAAGGAAAGCCCACGCGTTTCACTGGAGATGTCTGCGGGACCGAGTTGGAAACGACAGGTGAAGGCGTCCTGCTGTGTCAGGCAGGAGCCGTAGGCAGGAGCCAGGGTCCACTGAGCGCCCCGAAACCCCTCAGTTGACCCCTCAGCGGCTCTGGCTTCCGAGAGCCGCAGGATCGGGCGTTCAGTGGGCAGGGCTCAGAGCACGCTGGGGGCCTGGGCGGACGTCCAGCCCAGGGGCGCCCTGCAGGCACTGACACGGAACCCCAAGTGGCCGGACAGCCCACTCAGCAGGCCGCACCTACAGAGGGGGCCTCCCTGTCCCAGCCTGGCCCACAGGCTCGCCCACTTGACCAGACCCAAATGCTCAGCCTGAGCAGGGAAAACATCCATCTGACCTCAGGAAAAAATGTTTTCTTCTGAACAGCCGCTGATGTAACTGAGATGATTGCAAATTCTGTAAAAAGTCCTCACAGATATGTTAAAACAAAAATTAAACAGACTTTTTTTTAAAAGATAGTTTATTTCAGTTTCCACCTCTGACAATCCAAGGTGCGAGATTATTACTATATACATAACAATAAATTGTTTTGTTTTTCTTCACAGGAAACAGCTTTGAATTTAGCACTGCTTTGAGATCTTCAACCTTGAAACTTTCTCAACCTTAAAATACAGTTTGTAGAACATCACCTAGCGGGACACAAAGTTGCATAACTGGAACACAGAGAACATCAGCATCGCTGAACTCTATTTTGGGAGCTGCCAAAAACACAACGTCTGGGCGTGACGATGGCAGGTTTAGGTCCGAGACGAACAAGACGAACGCGGTGAAAGAGAAAGCAGCGAATGGACGACATAAAACGCCACTGAAAGTTCCAGTGGAAACCACAATGCACAACGGAGGTTCTGGCACATGGACGTGTTTTCAGGGACTCTATGCAAGTTGTTTGAATTTCTAGCATTTCCTAGTGTTCGAATGTATGACTCACCTTTCCCCAGGTGCGGTCCGGAGACCCTAAGCGCCAGGCCCAGGCCGGCCCCTCCCACAGCCCTGCCGCGTGTCTCCTGCAGGGGACGCCACCTGCAGCCCCACGTAGAGAGGGCAAGCCTTCCTCCCTGGCCAGCGCATGCGATCCAGCTCAGGGGCCTGTCCAGGGGCCAGCAGGGAGCAGGCACCACGCCAGTCCCAGCTCCACGCAGGCGAGATTCGGACACATCCTCTCTGCAGTTGAAGTGCCACGTCCCTCACAACTGTCAGGGCCTGGAGACTGCGGGGGAAGCGGGGCTCTGGCTCTCCCCACAGTGCACCATGTCCTGCGGGTGACGGGACGCAGGAGCCCAGACCATCCTCCCCTGCGCTGACACAGCGACTTCTCCCCTTTCCAGCAGTGACCGAGAGCGCCCCCACCGTGGAGCGCTGCCCCCCCCCCCGAGTCTCAGGGCCACGTGCTCCCTGGGCACTGCTAGGGTCGGACCGCTGTCCCGAGCTCTCTGCTCACCACGCTCTGCAGGGCTCAGCCGGGCCGGCTGGGAAATGCTGGCACCAACTCAACCTGAGGCCAGCGCCGGGACGTGGGGCTCCGGGTCACTCAGGAGTGGCTGGCCCCCAGGGAGGTGCCGTTCCTGCGAGTCCTGTTGGTCCCGCTCTCCCCTGAGGAGTACGTGACACCCAGGCCCAGAGATGAGAGGGGCACCGAGGCACAGAGTGGGGGCCCTGGAAGGGCCTGCCTCGGAGGGTGCCTCAGCGCTGCAGGCGGACGACACGGAAAGGGCCCATCTGTGGACACCTGACAAACCGACGCCTTCCCTTCCCTTCCCGGCACAGGCTTTCCTGGGCCGGCGGCTGTGCAGCCTGCGGAAGCTCTGGGCTGTCTGAGGCTTCCCCCTGACGTGAGCCCGTTGGGGGCCCCTAGCCAGCACGAGTCTCTTGACAGTGGAACTCGGGTAAAAGCTTTGAAGTGAGACCTTTCTCTGAGAATCATGATACAAGTGACGTGCGGGGCAGGCCGAGAAGGCTGCGCTGTGAGGGAAACACCCCTACGCCGACAGCCTCACTCTTGCTGACGAAGATGAGGAGGCCACCTCGGACCCCCCACCTATCCAGGCCCAGAGGGGCCCTCCTCTCCCCTCTCCCTGAGGATGGGGCTGGGCCACTGCCACCCCCAGTGTCCCTTTCTTCTTCCATCTGCAATAAGGCAACCTCTCACTTTTAAAGTCCTCTTTCTCAAGCCCCCCACTGTTCTTGGCAAAGCACCGGGCCCCTTGGCTGCCCCACTGGCTGAAGTCTGGGTAGCCGGTAACGACGCTGATGTAACCGTGTGGGCTGACTGGACCCTCCCTAGTAAAAGCCACTGGTCAGTGTGACCCAGGAAGGTCAGGCTTGTCGTTTACGGCCCTGGCTTCTGGTACCCTTCACAAACTGCTTTATGTGTGAAGTCTGTTCTTCAGGTCAAGCATGCCATGCACTCCCAGGGTGACAAGGTGAGCCACACGGAACAGCACACAGGGAAGCTCATCGCAAGGCTGCAGCCTCTATCCACAGAAATGAACACCACGGCCTGCCTGGCTTGGGGACGTGGGCCCGTGTCGTTTCCACTCCCAGAAAGGAAGACAAAGGTAGGCGGTGTCTGACTCCCACGTGGGCCTCGGCTCTGAACCGCCGGGCTGGTTCTAACCTGCACGTGCGTTCCTTGGATCAACTGGACATCTGGGTTTTAACCTGGGCACAGAGCTCCGCAATCGGAGCCTTCCTCCAGCCCTCCTTAGGCTACTTTTCTTGTTTTGGCAACCGGAATATCACGGAGTCTATTCCGCTTCATTTACAGGTGCCACGATGTCGGGGCTCAGTTCTCCAGCCTTTGGCTAAATGTGCACACACACATGCACACGCACGTGCGTACACACGTACATACACGCACACACATACACACAGCGGATGCAATCTGAATATTGTGGCCCTTCTTTAACACAGATCAACTTTGCTAAAATTATAACAAAGGCTAAAACCACATAGAGCCGCATCCCAACAGTGTCCTGTTTTCAAAGCAGGGAACCTTTTACTTGAGAGAATTACGTGTATTTTGGTTGGCTATGATGCGCCTGGCCCTCAAGGTCACGGGGCAGATCTGAAACGCCAGCGCTCCTGGCTTCAGCACTCTACCTGTGCGGACTGGGTACTATCTGAGGCTTCCTGAGTTTACAGAAGGGCTACCAGAGCTCTCCTGTGCCAAAGTGTCCCTGTGTTCTCCTGGGGGTGACATCTCCCCATGAGGGGACCTCTGAGCATTGTGGCTCAGTCTGTCTGCACTGGCCAGGCCCTGGGGGGAAGAGGCGTCCCAGGGAAGGGGAAACTGCAGTGGGCGAGTTCTTCCGGGACGCTGTGCCTCCTGCAAGTGACACTGGCCAGAGGACTCGAAAGTGAGACACTCAGCTAGAGCCAGCTGTCCGGAGGGACAGTGGGGCAGCCTCCCAGGCCACCTCCAGCTCCACTCTTGTCCCTGAGAGCCCACCCTGGTGGCGTCCTGTGTGGGGCCTGGCACAGAAGGTGACACTTCCCAGGGTCAGACTCCCTTCAGCTCTGAGGAGGAAGAGCAAGGCAGGGAACAAAACAAAACCACCCCTTCTTCCACTTTACATTGCTATTTCAAGAGGTCTACTGGGGGAGGGGGGGAGATTAAGATCATTTGTGAAGTTAAAGTGCTTGGGAAAAAAGCCAAAGAAGTCAAAGCTGCATTTCCTTCCAAAAGCTGCGTACAGGCTCTCCAGCACCCCAGAGAGAGGCTCAGAATCGAATGTTCTTGCCGAGAACTCAGACCAAGCCAAACATCTATACAAAAATCCTATATATACAGGGGTAAGTCTTGTGGGCACCTCAGAGCAAAGTCCTAATGCGTTTCACTGACACGAATAATAAATGACTACGAAAGCTGAGGACAATGGCCACGGGGGGCGCCCGGAAGGTTCAGCGAATTTCACAGACGCAGGGAGGAGGACAGGAAGCTTCTAGGGCCGCGAGTTTGGGGAGGGTGCATTGTCTGAGGTCGGCACTGAGCAAAGAGGGGTCCGCACACCCATCGACCCGACGTGACTTCTCTAATGGATTCAGTGGAGATGTACATGGTCACTGGGGCCTGACAACAGGGCAGGGCACCTTGGCCGGCACGATCTGTCCAGCTCGGGCAAGCCGGCTAGCAACACAGTCGTGCTCCATCTGGTGGCACCGCCAGCCGGGCTAAAATCACACACACATACGCTGTGCCACCAGAGGCCATGGGCTCCGGTCCCCATTCCTTTGGTCTGACAATGTGTTGCCTGAGTGCACTCAGATGACGCCACACTGCAGATAATGCCCCAAATACACATTCTGTGGCTCAACCCATCCATGCTATTCCCTGGGTGGCATTCTGGAGAGAAACCTTTCGAGCGGTTGCTGGGTAAGTGACTATCAGGCATGTTTCTGCTGTCCTTAGGGATACGACGGTAATGATTTAACTGAAGGCTAGGAAGGCAGGACGAGCAGGCAGGAGGGGATGAGGGAGGGTGGGGGACACCCCCATGCACCCATCTCAAGTCACAACCAGAGGCGGGAAGCCCAGGGTGGGCAGGAAGCAGCGGGCCGTGGGAGCCAGCATACTGGAGGCTGCGGGTCAGGCCTCATCCCCACGGCTGGGCTTCTGTGCTGGGACACACCCCCGCAGGAAGGCCGAGGTTCCAGGCACCAGGCGTGGGTGGAGGAAGGGGTACGAAGGCTTGGGCTGCGGGAGTGAAGTCCACAGGGGCGGAGGGCCCAGCGCCCAGAGCCCACTCCGCTAGCTGGCCCTGGACAATCACAACAGAGCCGCCGCTCCCCAGCTGGCTGTCACAGCAAGCAGACTCTGTGCCTTGTCTGAAATGAACAGCAGCACTGTTTGCTGTTAGAAAGGGCGGCTGTCTTGTGGCTGCTAGGTTTCTCTTTTCTGTGCTTCTCAAGGGGGACAGACGGCGCCAAGCTGCTCCCGGCGCGCTGAGGAAGCTTCAGAGGGAAGTCGTCGGCCGAGCAGACGCCTCGGCACTAGTGCGACTCAACGGAAGCCACACGAATCCTGTGCTGTTTGCAGGGCACTCACACGTCCCTGGACAGGGGCCGGGTCTCGCTACAGCCGGGAAAGAGCACCCTCTGCACGGGACCTGTCTCTCCCCGAAACAGGAAGCGTCTCTCCCCCTAGGGGTCCTGAGACTCCCAGTTCCCATCCCACGGAGGGAGGCTGGAGAGGAGCAGGGACCCGCCGAGGCCAACACCGCAGTTTTGTCTGTACCTGGGGTGGGGGCATGGCCCGGGCATCCTGATGACTGATGCCTGTCCTCATGTCCTGGCCCGTCAGCTACAGCCCTGCCTGCCTCACAGCCATCCCGCCTACTCCCTGTGCCCCCACCCTCTCCAGCCCTGGGCCTCCTCTCTCGGGGTCACATGTCGTAAGCCTGGCGCTTGGGGAGACAACTGGTCACCTCAGTGTGAGCCGTGAGATCCAAGGGACACTCTGGCACGTGGAACGGGGGAGCAGACACAGGCAGAGGGAGGACGGGCAGCTGGGTTCTTCTAACCGCTAGTTCTAGGGCAGCGAGGAGCGGCTCTGGGTGCTGCTGGCGTCATGCAGGGTCATCAGGTGGGTGACGGCCAGTCGCCGGCCTAGTCCTCCTGGGGGCGTGGCCTCCGTGGCCTATTCAGTGGCCATTTGCTCGATGTGCTCACTGAGCAGCTTGTATTGCTCTGGAAGAGAACACAGCGTCACTTCTTGGAAGGAAGGTGGTGGCCGAGACAGGCGTGTCCTGCCCTTCTCACCGGGCAGTGATGAAGCAGGACAGAGCACATGGCCCCCAAACCACAGGCCTCACACGGGGCACATGCTGGGGAGTGGGCCCTGGGGATGGGAACATCTTCTCACGGAAACGGTGACCCAGAGGGCCCCCCAGTGAGCCTGCGAAGGCCTGGTGTGGTCAGGCCAGGGAGGGGGTGGTACTCCCCTTGCCCTTTGCCAGCGATGCAGGGCTGGGGCAGCATTTTGAGATCATCCATGGACACCCTCGTGCCTCCTGAGGCCACTCCCCTGCGGACCTCTTGCATTTGGTACAGGATACGATTTTATAAAGAATGCTGGTCAAGGCAATGCATGCTGAGTGAGGGCTTCCTAGACTGGGAGAAGCATCTGGCGGCACACGGGACAGCACAGGTGAGGCCGGATCTGGCAGCAGGCTGGGTGCCCGAGTTGGCAGCAGGCTCCCTGCTGTCACAGAAGCCAGAAAGGCTAAAAAACCTGACAACTGCCTCCACACACCCGCCTTGCCCCTGGCTGTACCCGCTGTGGCTCTGTGGTCCGAGAGACAGAGGGAGGCCATGCGGCGGCTGCCCAGAAGGGGCAAGGTGGGGCCAGAGTTTGGCTCTGAGCAAGTTCCGAGTCTGGGCGCCAAGTCCCGCCTGTACTTGTGTCCTGTCTGTGACACTGAGCCGCAGGCCCCCCTCCCCTGCCCACCCTGCCCTGGGGGAAACGCATTTCCAAAGGCACCGAGAGGTGTCCAGAGCGTGTACACTGACTAGAGAACAGGAGGGAGGACGTTAGCGCCACACGTGTAACTAGACAGGGGCTCTGGCGCCTCACCTTCATCCAGGTTGCCGATCACGGCCTGCTTCTTCAGGAAGTCGTTGCACAGCTTCTTGTTCAGCCCAAAGGCCAGCATGTTGTGCGTGAACGTGCTGGGGGAGAAACACCGGGACTGTCACACTCCTGCCCCTCGGGGGGAGGGGCCGGGAGCCGGGCCCTATCCTCCTGGATGCCCAACAGGGGCCTGCCTAGGACTTTCAGCAAGAATCAAAATTCAGTTGCCGGGGAGAAGGGGGCATGGGCAATATATGTAACCTTAACACTTGTACCCCCATAATACGCTAAAATAAAAAAAAAAATGCAGTTGCCGAGTCAGCCACCAACACTCTCACTGTGACGCTGCTGCCACCAAGGGTCCTGTTAGGCAGGGGTTAATTAGGAACCTGAATCAAGGTCAAGTGTGATTAAATCCATGCTTTTGAGCAGTTGAGAGGGCTGGGCGGTGCTGACACTGTGTCCGGTGTGTGACATCAGGAGGGACGGCATGTGGGGGGCTCCTCCTTCCCCCGTGGCCCCAGCTCTCACCCCAGCTGCCCGAAGGTGATGTTCTCGTTGAACCGGAGGCTGTCGTCTCGCTCCTCCTGGGTCATGTGGCACCACTTCTCCCTGCAAGCACAGGAGGGGACAGGAGTGGGGCTCAGACAGCACCATCTGCGGCCCGTACGTTCATTCCCCACCCCGACCTGCAAGTGCTGGTGGCACCTGAGCACCGCCTCCCCGACGCAGGAGGAAGCCCCCTCCCTGGAGAGCTGCGCCGGCGGCAACACACAGCCCACTGGGATTCTGACACCGTGCCGAGAGGCCCCAAACACATGCTGATTCATTTCATTCCTCCTGAGCCAGAGACCCAAAAATGACATCGCTCGCTACTGCCCTGGACATGGGTGTTCACGGCGGCTGCCTGGCATTCTGTAGGCAACAGGGAGGCTGGCTCCGGGTCCCTGCTCCAGCTGGGGAAGGGGCTCCTGGGCCCGTCTCCCCAGGGAGGCGCCGCCAGGGAGGGACAGGGCCTGCCTGGCCCCGTCCAGAGGAAGCTGCTCAGGCTCATGCCTGCGTCTCCCACTAGCAGCTCGCACGGAGCCAGCAGGGCGTCCTGTGGGAGGCGCAGGGGTCACTGACAGCCACATAGTCCCCTGTCTGCAGAGACTTTGCGAAGTTTCTTTCCCTCATCGGCTTTCTCGTGGCCCCTCTCCACCCCTTCCCCACGTCCTCTGTGAATTGTGACCCCGTGACTGCATGGACCGTGGGAAAGATGGCAGTGGTGTCCAGAGCATGGCGTTGAGCCCAGCATGAAGGCAGATGGCATGGTCTGCACGCGCCAGAGGTGAAACCACACGGGTGGCCACTCATTGGGATGTTCTCTGCACAGGGCTGGGTGGGGCGGTGTTTTTCTAGCATTCCCCTATCCCGTGCTCTAGGGGGCGCTGTTAATTCTCAGTGCGCCCGGGAGGAATAGGAGAGTCCACCCACCCATCAATGCAGCGGCTCCTTCCCTCCCCCGCCTGCAGGCAGAGCAGCCTCCTCCCGGTGAGGACCTGGGCCACCCCCATCCCCAGGACTCCCTGGACACTGTGTCTGTCTGGAAGCACGCTGTTTGCAGGGCCCACACGGATGTGGAGGAGAAATTCCTTTGAGCCCATTTCCCTCTAAAAAGAAAACTCCAAATGGATGAGTCTGGCTAAATAAAGTTGAGAGAAAGATCAAAGGAAAGGGAGAGAAGAGAGAGTATGAGGGGGTGACAGGTCAGGGGTCATGGAGAAGCCAAGGAAGAGAAACAAAACAAAAGAACATAAACTCTCAACTCCTCTCCAGCCTCCTGGCCCACAGGCGGTCACTGGCGGTGCTGTGGCTCAGCAGGGGCCACAGGAGATCAGGGGCATGACCCGGGGGGGTGACAGTCACTACCAGTTTCCCCATGCTGATGGCAGGGTGCCAGTGAAGATACCCAGAACATACTTCCAGGCACTTTACTGAGTCCCATCCCATTTTCCTTCCTATCCTTCCCCCCAGTAGTCACCCTTAGGATTGTCCAGACACGGAAAACCCCACACCACCACCAGGCCTGCTGGGTTCAGTTGTGCAGGTTGGGCACAGCTGCCCTGGCGTCGTGCTGCCCAGCGGTCCTGCCCCTGCTGCTCCTGACCCGATGAGGAGCTGATGCGTCTTGCTGTGGCCAGGACTAAATCTGGGCTGTCTAACCCGACCTCTGAAGAAAGAGGTCATTAGCAATCAGCACAACGGGTGACGCCGCCAATCAGATCCCCGCTCTAAAACCGAGTTCGACCTCCAGCACTGCTCAAGGTCTCTCGCCGCACGGAGAACTGAACTCGTGTCTAAATTGCCACAGGAGTCTGGATGTGACCAGCTGCTTGCAGAAAGGGAAACCTTCTGAAAGGAGAACTTGTGCCTCTGTGAACAGAGAGGATGGTCATGGCATCTTGCTGTCAACAGAGGGTGACAAGTCATGTTGGAGGCACGAAGTTGCCTGGGGACCTGGAACCAACCCTCTCCCCAATCTCACAGCAACACTTGGCCCTCTCTGGGCAGGGCTCAGGGGTAGGTCAGAGAAGTGGAGCTGTGCGTGGCAGACAGGACGTGCTCTGGGGAGGAGCCCTGGAGGCTGGCTGAGCTTAGGACAGGTCACCCTGACCAGCACACGGAGGGAGCCAAGAAGTTCCCAGCCCTCTGTGTGCTGAAGCTGCAGGGACGAGAAGCCTTGCTCCTGGAAGGACGGTCACTCACACTGTCACCCAGAAAGACTCAGGATCTTAGGGGCTTTGTTTATGAAAGGAGGTAGCCGTTATGCCTGCGTGCTCCTTGTAAAGCCATAAGGATGCGGAAGAAACCAGATTTCTTGTAAAGATTAACGCTAGGAGCACGTCGCTGATTAAAGGAGGTGCCTCGCCACCGAAAAGGCTTCGCGTTAGGGACTCTACTTTGAACAGGCAGGTCTTTGAGGCTAAAAACACATCACAAAGGATCCTAACAAACACAGAGTTGAGAGTGAGAGCCAGACCCCACTGTGGGCTTGCAGGAAACAGCGCCGTTCTAGGCATTTCTTCAGGGGTGCTCCTCACACCCTCATGGCTTCTACATCCCAAGTGGCCAGAGAGGGGGCAGCTGCCCTTTCTTGGTGACGCCCAAACCTGCCAGCCCCAGCCCACCTCCCAGCAGGTGACGCTGCAAACAGGACAGGCTCTCTGCACCCCACCCGCGGCTTCCCAGGTGAGCTGGATAAACTTCTCGCCAGTGAGACAAGTGAGGTCAAAGGTGAGGTCCCAGGGTCTCTCTCCTCTGTGAGCTCGGCTGTGCCCTCAGGGGTCCCAAGGTGTCACATTTGTTTTCTATTCCAGGGTGCTCTGGCCATGGCAGGCTCCCACCTGCCCAGTGGGCCTCGCCTCCCGGGGCCACCCTCCCCGCTGGCCGCTGCCCCTGCGGTCCGGGCGCTGCCCCTGTGGTGGCAGCATGACCCACGCCCGCCCTGCGGTGGCCCTGTGAACTGGAACAAAGTCACGTGGACACACACACCTCTTCTCCTCCTCCTCTCCAGCATCCCCTCTGGAGCGGCAGCAGAAACAGGTAAACAAAGGAACATGTCAAAGTCATGCAAGATATGTGGATGGAAAAAGAGAACAAGCAGAGAAGGAGGGTTATTACGGGCGGGAGCAGAGAGGGACAGAGAGAGACAGGATATTCAAGATAAACTTATTTCCTAGAAGTTTGACAGCTACACAAGAGGCAAAGCCCATTCTCCTTGAAGCATCTGAGCATTTCCTTTGTTCTCGTCTCCTGGCAGGACAGAAAATTCTCTCCTGAGTCCTCGGGTAGAGTTTCTGGTCTTTCCCGCTCCTTGGGCCCCTGCCTCCCCGGGCACCGTGCCCACGGGTGCTGTGGGACTGAGGCCGACCCCATCCCTTAGGCTGCCCAGAAGGAAGGATTCCACCTGAGCCTTCCTGAGGCTTACCCAAGCAGCGTCATCTGCTTGCTCTCCTGACGGGGGGCAAGGTCAGAGGTCCCCCCCAGCATTAAGAAGGGAGGGATCCACTTTGTACTGAGACCAGGCCTCTGAGAGTTCAGAGAATTCAAAGTCAGGTGACTACAGGGTCCCCGAGGGGGCCACTGCGCCTTCCTTGCCCAGCGGGCGGCACCTTTGCTGGCCACAGCCGGAGAGAGAACCAGGCTCCACCCCTGTGACATTGGTGCCAGCCCCTTGCTGCTGCCATTTGCCTTTTCAGACAGTTGCCCGGAAGGGGCAGCTTAAGTGCCAAATTACCCTCAGTGACGCTGGAAAGTGTGTCCAGGCCGCAGACCCAGGAGTGAGCCGAGCGCAGCCACTGCCTCTCTGCGATGTCAGTTCTCGTGCAGAGTCTGGGGGTGGCGGCCAGCCCTATACCCCGGGACCCTGTCCCAGCGGTGTGCCCCCGGGGAAAGTAGCAGGGTGGGCTTGGGGTGGGGGTCCTGACGGTCTCATTCAGTGGGAGCTTGCAGCTTTAGGAGGGTCAGGCCGAGTCATGCCGGAGCCCGGGACGGGAAGCACCCATGCACGCGGAGCACCCACCCGAGCTGTGCGCCCCGGACCCCTCAGGCAGCTTGCAGGGCACAGGACCAGGAGGACCGAAGGAAGCGCAGACGCGGTAACTCAGCTGCTCTGCGCTCTCCTCTTCAGAAACCAGACAATAAAGCCACTCCTTGGTCCTCTTTCCCGAGCAAACGGGCCCACGCTTTGCTCCTACCTGGTAGTGGGGGATCGCTTCCTCCTCTCGCAGTGGACGGCATCAAAAAAGGCCGCGTTCCAGAACCGCAGTGTATGCCTGCAAGACAGGGCCGGGTGAGGCTCCCTCCAGGGGAGGGGGAGGAGCAGTTTGTCACATCTGCCTGAGCTTCAGAAAAGTCTCAGAGAGGTAGAGCTGAGAAGAAAAAGTGAGCATGTGACTTTATCTAAAGACGTTTCAGGGGGCCCCTGGCGCCTGCATCCCTCTCTTAGCAGAGACATGCCGGCGAGGGTGTGAACGGGAGCAGAGGTGCAGTGGGAGGGAGCACAGCAGACCTGGGTCCGCCAGGTGAGAGCTGCAGCTCCCACGCAGGGCGTGGAAGGGGGCGACCTTCTGCTCCTGTTTTTCCACTGAGACTCCCAGGAGGAAGCGGAGGCCCATGGAGATGTGCTTTTCTAGAACTGGCTCTAGTGACACAGATGGGAACCCAGCAGGGACGTGCCACGTGCAGAGAGAACTAACACGTGCACAGGGACACTGGAGTAAAAAAAAATCCTCTTGAAGAAGATAGGGGGTGGCAAACAGGGGTGTGGGCTGAAGCTGGCCCTCCCCCCGTTTCTGTAAATAAAGTTTTATCAGCATATGGTCACGCTCATTCACTTCCATATGGACTGTGGTGGTTCGCACCACGGTGGCACGGCTGTGTGACTAACAGACATCACATGGCTCAAAAAGCCTGAAATATTTGTTATCTGGCCCTTTACAGAAAATTTTGCCGGCTGGGCGCGGTGGCTCACGCCTGTAATCCTAGCTCTATGGGAGGCCGAGGCGGGTGGATCGTTGGAGCTCAGAAGTTCAAGACCAGCCTGAGCAAGAGCGAGACCCCGTCTCTACTAAAAAAAAAAAAAAAAAAAAATAAATTGGCAAACTAAAAAAGGAATAAAAAAAAAAAAAAGAAAATTTTGCCAATCCTGGTTCTAAATGACAACAGCAAGGTCAAGGACCAGAGGGGCTGAGCTGAGTCACTGGACAAGTGGGATATGCTGGTCACTTCCTCCCCTTCTGCCTCTGTGTGTGTACCTGTGCCAGCTCAGGTCCAGCCTCCTTGGTATTCCCAAGGGTTCAGCCCAGCCCTCCGCCCCCTGTGTCCTGCAGCACTGCCTGGCCACAGTCATCAGCTCACATGACCCTTGCTTTGTTATGGGCAGGGACTGCAGCTGAGTGTGTCTGCCACCTGGGCTGCAGGTTCTAGTACGTGCCCTGCAATGTGGCGGTGAGAGGCTTCAGGGGATTAAATGACACTAGCCATCAACCATGGAGCTGGATGATGGGCAAGACTTCTCCTGACCACTGGTCTTGCACTTCAACCATGACCTTCATTTTTTTAAACACGTATAATACCTTAAATTGGGATATAATTGATATACCGTAAAATTCACCCTCTAAAGTGTACAAGTCAGGGATTTTTAGTGTGCTCAGAGTGTGCAACCACCACAAGTACCTATTTCTAGAATACTTCCATCGCCCCACAAAGACGCCCTGCCCCAGCCCCTGGCAATCATATCTACTTTGTCTCTAGGAATTTGCCTGTTCTAGACATTTCACATAAATGGGATCGCACAATCTGTGATCTTTTGTGACTGGCTTCTCCCACTCCGCATCCTGTCTACAGGGTTCATCGCTGTGGCAGCAGGTGTCGGAGCTCCATTCCACGGTAAGGACAGACCACACTGTGTTTATCTGTCACCACTGAATGGCCGTGAAGGTTGTTTCCACTTCAGGGCTGCTACAAACGATGTTGCCATGGACTCGTGTGCACAAGGTTTTGTGTGGATGTGTTTTCACGTCTCTCGCGCACTTATCTAGGGGAGGGACCGCCGGATCACAGGGTGGCTCTGTGCTTAACCTGCGAGCAGCTGCCAGGCGGTTTCCTCGGCTGCCCCACTGCACGCTCCCACCAGCAGCACAGGAGATCTCTGACTCCACCACGTCCTTGGCAACCTTGTTAACGTTCACCTTTTTTATTCTGGCCATGGGGTGGGGTAAGTGACCGTCTTTCCTGATGGAGGCAAAGGCATCTAGAGGAGCCTGGGGGGTGGGGCTGCCCTGCGGTAGGAAGGTGCGGGGGGCTGCGGGCCGGCCTTACCAGATGGGCTGCTGTTTCAGGTGAGTATACAGGTAGATCTTCTCCCCTTTCTTCTCGTCCTCTGGGCTGCACACAGTCACTACAGGAGGAGGGAGAGGGCTGAGGACAGCTCCGACCATGCACCCCCACTCAGCAAACCCCACACGACAGCGCCCCAGCCACTGCTTCTCCCCCCAGGTCATCAGAACACATGATCAAAATTCCACGACAGCTTTTCTGCCAGCCACAGCCAGTGATGCCGCTATTCCCACCTGTAATAAGGACTTCTTCCTGGGGGATGTCCACAGAATGGCTATCACCTCCCAGTAATATTTCACTTAACTTCCCTGGGATTAAGGAATTGAGCTCCTTAGAAAAGTGGCCCTTCCCTGGAAATTCAGTAATATGGACCAGTGGAGCGGGAGAGCAACTTGGGCATCATCTCAGGCAACGGTCTTGTGTCGCAAGGAGGGGGTAAAGCCCCAGGTGTTACAGACATGTTTGTTTGGTTGCCGGTTTATGGGGGGCTGGTCTGAACCCCCTGTGGGGCCCAAGGGACAGGCCCCAGGGAGTGCTACAGGGATGGGCAGGGGGTGCAGACTCACCTGTCCTCTGCTGCTTCTCCCTGGGCTTGTTCTCGTCGTCCCTGCAGGAGAGACCATGGTGAGGACAAATGTGACCCACGCCACGCTCACTCAAATCAAAGACCTCGAATCTCTAAGATGGGGCTGTGTACGTTTACTGTGTTGTCTCTGAAAAGACTTTTCTGAAATCAATACTCTACTTGCCAACTGCCAGTGTTTTAGAATTGAGCAAGTGTGGTGTTGAGGCTTCTTAATGTCATTCTCTCTGAATCTAAAACTGTACGGACCAGAGCAGGAACAAAGCCAAGTTGCCTGGCTGTAACCAGGCCATCGGTAGTGATGGTGGGGACTCTGGGGTAGCCGAGGGCTCCCTCTTGCTGACATGTCCCCTTCCCTGCATGGAAGGCTCAGCTTCCACAGGCCTGCTCCTGACATGCCCCCCCCCAAGAGGTTCCTGGCGTTTCTGCCAGAGACTTGCCCTGCTGGGGACAGTGTCTTCTCCTGCGTCCTGACCCTGCACCACGAACACACTAACTCTCAGCCCAGTTAGAGCAGGAGGAAGGGGGAGGGCCTGTAACCCCCACCCCCACCAGCTGACACTTTCACAGGCTCTCATCGGTCCCGCAAATGTGCTCTGGGACTCGCCTGGCATGTCAGGAAGGAACCACAGAAGCCTCTGGGGACCAAGGCCATGCCAGCTGGCAGCTGTGCTTCTCAGGAGCTCCCGCCCCAGAGTCCATGACAGGGAACAGATTCCCCCATTTTCACGCCAGCATGCTCCCTGCCACCCCCCAGGCCAGGCCAGAGACCCCCATGAGGTGACTTACTCATTTTTCTTGATCAGGGGGCCCTTCAGCTTGGTCTCCAGCCCCCCGAAGAAGCCCTTCACGTTTTCCGTCCTGGCCGAGGTGTTTTTCAGCAGCCGCTCGGCTATGTCCTTCTTCTCCGCCAACCAGCTATTTGCCGACCTCAGGTAGGAGTCCACGCTCCCCGCCGGCTTCTCCTTGGCTTCCGAGGGGAGCAGGTGTGGTTTTCCTTGAAGAGGAGGGAGGGAGAAGGACAGGCGGGGAGTGAGAACAGGATGTGTGCAGGACCAATCACCGAGGGCTGGAGAGAAGCGCCCCAACGTCTTGGAGCAGCTTTGTGTAGCGCCACCCTCATTTCTCCATCCCACGGACAGGGCCGTGGGGCAGCGAGCTCAGTGGACCCCAAGACAAGAGGGAGGGGCAGCCCCCCTCTCTGCAGGATCATCCGTGAGCACCTGCTATGTGCAGGGAAATAGGCTGGGAGGCAGGAGGGACCCAAGAAGCAAGCAGGCCCCAGCCCTGGGAGGCAGAGCCTGGAAGGGTGGTAAGGAACGTGTGCTCGCGGCCTGAGCACAGAGCCTTGACCGCGGCAACCGAGGCACAGCCACACGGGGCAGAAGAAGAGGCTTTCCCAGTGTGGCAGGAGGACAGGGCAGATTCTGGACAGGCTCAACGGCCCCTGGGCTGGGCCTGAACAGGTGAGTGAGGGCTGTGGGGTGTCGGTCAGAGGAGGGGAGGAGCCACGGCAACGCCAGAGTTCCTTCCTCGGGGCAGCGGACGGCCCCACAGGCTCAGGCGTCCTCACAGACTGCAGCACAGTGTCCCCTACTAGCTGAAGCTGTCTGTGCACAGATGCATCTCAGGCACTTTGGGAAGGAGCAGCCACAGGTTGCATGAGGGGCTCCCACCTGACCAGAGGTGGCTGACGAGTAGCCTGGCATGAAGGGCCTGCCTGGCTGAGGGGTATGGGGAGGATGGGCCAGTGGGAGGCGGGGGGGATGAAGGCACATTGCAGTGGGCAGGGGACACACTCCAAGATGGAGTACATGGTTCCTGAGAGAGGATGGCAAAGGAGCACGGTACTCAGAGCCACCCTGCCCCAGCTCCAGGCCACACAGAAGCTTCCAGCAACCTTCACTTATAGTGGCCCAAATGAGGCTCTGCTGCTGCAGCCCAAGGAGATCCACACAGGGAGCCCTCAAACTCCAATGTACCAGAACATTCCAGCACAATGAGCCGTTAGAGGCAACATAGCCTCAGCACCAAGAAAAACCCGCACTCTTGGCAGGAAGTCTCCAGTCCACCCCCTGGAGCTCTCTGCAGCCCCGGTCTGAGGCTGCCCCCATGTCCCCCAGAGAGCCAACTCTGTGTCACGTTTTGCTAACACACAACACTGCCATCCTCACATCCAGCAACTGCTATCTCCACCATGAACTGTTGTGCCCAGTGTGCACATTTTCTCATTTCCTAACAGCCTGGTGGCTTCCTTCACGCTGTGGACGGTCAACCTCTTCCCCACGGTGTGGGCCACATTCTCCCTCCCACTGCGGAAGTGTCACTCTGCTCACGCCCTCCCTAGCATCCGCTTCCTGTGTTCTCTGGAAGCAACACCACTTGGACCTCAACCGTAAAGAAAGCTCCCTTCGAAGCCACGTTATCGGTTGGCAAATCTCAAGTCCCCAAGTCTGAGCTCCGTCGGCAGAGCCCGTGTCTCACCGATGTGGTAGTAGGTGAAGCACATGGTCATGAGGTTCTTGGCGGGCCCAAAGTCGTCCATCTGATGGCACCTGGAATGAGAGGAGGGCCCACCTAGCTGCAGAATCCTTCCCCCGGATTTTCTCGCCGCAAGTTCATCAAGCAACACCAGACTACTTTACAAGTAGGTCTAACTTGGTGCCTGGCTCCCGAGATGCTAGCACAGGAGAAGAACACACACACTCCCCCAGGTTCAGTTAGGCGAGTTACCCCCAGGCACGTGGCCGAGGGCTGGGACTGACTCTGCGCAGGGAGGAGTGTGTGCTCCATCAGCCCACCTCTTCCGCTTCACAGGTGAAAGCCAAGGCCCAAGAAGCTCGACTCACTCGAAGGGGCAGGACCAGGACTTCCAGCAGCAAGGCCTCAGGTCTCAGTCCAGACCAGCGCCCCGGCCACACGCCCTCCAGCCCTCTACACCCCCCATAGAGAGTCACAGGCCTGGGAAGGGGACCTGTGTATCAGAGGTCTGGCTCCTTAACCTGACAGGTGGACAGAGGCAGGGATGGGGCTGGCCCCAAATCTTAGGTTAACGGCCACGCCCCGCCCACCCCACCAGCTGACACCCTCTATAACAAAGGGGCCAATTAGCACTCACAGGGCGGGCTCCAGTCCTCCAGTCGTATCATTAAGTGTTCATTTGCGGGAGGGCTGGGCAGTGATCTGGTTTGAATGCTGCACAATAGGCAATGCAGGGAGCGAGCTCTCCCCCAAGATGGTAGCCCAGCACATAATCACAGCCTGTCCCTGGGGATGAGGACGGCGGGGGAGGATGTGCCTCACGCCCAGCTGCAATCCTCCACTTTCCACTGCCAGGTGAGGACCGCCAGCTCTGCGCCGTGAGACACTGGTCACGGCTTCTCCTTTTAGCTGACGCTGGGCACATCGGCAATGCGATGGATGACTCATGTGGATGTTACTCACAGCGGGCGGGGAAGGGGGGGGAACGGCTCCTTAGGACAAAGGCTGTGAGCAACAGCGTGACTTACTCAAACAGCACCACCGCGAATGACTGCACCAGGCGGTAGAAGGTCGGTTCCGAGACACACTTGGAGTTGCAGCGCTGTCCAGAAAGAGGCCAGACACGTTGTCAGGGGCGAGGTGACGTACACAGTGCTCAGGGAGGGTACAGGCTTTCCACTCTCAACCATTCTAAGTGCAGCGGGATGGGCCACCCAGGGTGGCCACTTCCTCCTCTGTGCTGTGGAACCCTCTTACGTCCCCTCGTGCCAGGACCCGCGGCAGAGCTGGGCACCACACGCCACCGCTGGCAGGACATGCTCAGGGTTGTCCTTCAGAGATTTTAAAAAGCAGGAACTTCACACACTTGTCCACACACAGAAAAGTGTGGAGGGCAAAACCCCAAAATGATAACACTGACTATTTCTGTATTGTGGATTTATGGGTGATTAGTTTCTCCTTTTGCATATCTGCACGTTCTAATTATTCTATGAAAAATAAATTGTGATAAAAAATATTAAGAATTCAAGCCACTCCACAGGAAAAAAAAAAAACCTAGTGGATATTTTACAAAATTTAATTCTTTTCTGATCTTTGTTTATATATTTTTCTTTACACAGCTGTCATTGTCTTGAACATATTATTTTTCACAAAAACTGAGTATCGTGGGCTACTTAATAAAAATATGCATGCATAGAACCCCCGCATGCTTGGCTTTAACAAAAGAACTTTTCTGGAATTTCCTGGAATTTGACAGACCACAGTTTCTTACTCTTTCCCTTACAATGAGACATCCCCAGTGAGCTACTTCCCATTGCTCACTATGCTAACCAGCCCTTTTCAGAGCACCTGTGCGTAGGTTTTACATTGTTTTCTGTTAGGTCGTTTGCCTTGACTCTGCTCTCCAGAGTGGAATTACGGGATAGAGGAGGGAGTGTGTCATACGCCTCCAGATTCTTCCTGAGAGGAAACCCCTTTCCTCATCACCTCGCTTACCTGGGCGCTCACGTAGCGAGCAAACCACTCCCGGCCTTTTCCATTTTCACTGCTGCAATACTCGCCAAACTTGGCTTTCTCCTCCTGGTCCAAGTCCTCCCTAAAAAAAGAGAAGAGGGAAAAAAAGCCCTTTCAATCTTTTGAAACCCCCCCCCCCAAAAAAAAAAGGTTACAGGGTTACAGTAGGGACTTTGGAAGCAGGAAGTCTGCATGGAACTCCGATCCCATTCTCTAAGCCAGGCTCCTCATCTTTGAAATAAAAATAACAGCATGTCCTCATGGCATTGCCCGGAGGGCGAGATGAGCTGTCAGGTGTCTGCGCTTGCAGACTAGCAAACTGAGGAAGGATACCTGGAAAAGGTAGAAATTAACCCTGGCCGGACCAGGGGCCTGAATCACGAAAGAAAACAATGGACCCTTTGTACACGTGTCAACGGGCAAACATTTGTATGGTTCTAATGAAACTGGAAAATTGTCCCTTACACCAGTGCTTCTCAGACTTTAACATGTGTATGAATCATCCACAGACCTTATTAAAATGCAAACTCTGACTTAGTGGGGCCAGGCAGGGCCCAAGACTCTGCATTTTTTATAAGTCCCTATGAGACTGGCCCACAGACAATAGTCTGCGCAGCAAGACCTGCGGCATTTAACATGCTGCCGTGACAGACAGAAGATCGACGGTCAGCATCTCAAACCCCCAAGACTGGGGAGCGCGTGCCCCTCTGGCGGAGATAGTAACAGGCAGCCAGACAACGAGGGAAGCGTGCGGCCAGTCCCCAGATGCCCATCTCTCAGTCTACACCACAGCCCTGTACTGTTGCTTCCTGTCCTCAGTGTTCCTCACTTTTTCCACACGAAAGCCATGGAAGAAAGGCCACAAGGAGGTGCAAGGAAGGGTCCCCATGCAAGTGACTGCCTGAGAACCAGCTTCCTGTGAGCACAGGAGTGTGGGTGCCCGATACCTCCTCCCCTCACATCGCCCCTCGTTTAACCTCCCAGCCAGCTCTAACCCAGACAGGAGCACTGGTGAGCAGCGGGCCTGGAAACACTCAGATGGCACAGGAGCAAAACAAGCGTCCCCTGGGGCTAGCAACGATGAGGCAACATGAGCATCAGCGGAGTGATCAGAGCAGTGAGTGGGAAGAAACCACCACGGAGACAGCCTCTTCCATGGCCTGGCTCGAGGACGCACAGCCAACAGTCCAGGACCACGGGCGTCAGAAATGAGCAGGGCTTACGGGGACTACAGGATCTGTGCTTTAGAAATGATTTTCTGCATGTTTTGCAATAAGTATGTGCAGCCCACAGAGGCCACCACAGACAGTACAGTGACAGTCCTGCCTCATCCTGCTGCCTCCTCCCCCCAAGGCCTAGCAGAGGTGCTCACAAAACGAGAAAAATCCAGTCAGAAAACAAAGGTGGAGCAAAGACAGAAAAGCCACTCCTCTCTGTGCCCGAGTGCTATCTGTCTGGACCACATGGGGGAGGGCCAGGGACTTGAGGGACAGGGGACCTGCAGTCACGTCTGGTGCCTGGCTGACCTGAGCTGGACACTTTGGTGAGCTCCCTCCCAGTGGTTCTCGGCATGGCTGCCCTTGCCATATTTGACACTGGGCTATGTCCTAGAGAACTGATGTCATGGGTCTGGAGTGGGGCCCAGGCTCAGGTGTTCTTTAAAAATTCCCCCAGAACTACCCACAGCCCAGGGCAGAGTGAGAGCCACTGTGGTGGCCTCAGGTGGCGTCCTAGTGAGAGGCAGTGTTGAGTTGGCACAGGACTTGGGTCCCCTAGGACCTTGTGGCCGTGCCAGGCCATCTTACCCTCCGGAGAAGATCTTCTCCACGTAGCCACGCATGAACTCCCTGAGCGCCAGCGTCTCCTCGTCCTGGGCTGACTCGGTGCTCTGGCTGGAGGAGAAGGACTCGTTGGAGGAGGAGCGGCGGTCCTGGTCCCAGGACGGGTGTGAGGGTGACTCGCCCATGTCATTCTCGCTGTCTGCCGACTCGGTGGTCTCACTCTCTGACCCACCGTCGCCCAGGGAGCCGTCCCCATCCTGCAGCGTGGGGGGCGGGGTCTCCAGGGGAGGGGAGGCCGGTGGCTCAGGCCCAAAGTCAATCAGTGAGCCCACTGGGACCTCCGGGGCCTCCATGGTCGGGTGGGCTGTGGGAGGATGCCGGAGGGGAGCCCAGCTGACTGGCTCCTGGGCCGTCACCAAGAATGCGCCTCTGGAGCAGCTCACACGGCCCTAAGGCATCTAGGATGGAAACAAACACAGGCGTGATCACCATACAGCGCCACTCCTCACACGTGGGAAATTCAGCCGCCAGAATCCCAACTTGGATCAATCGATAGGGTGCACATTCCCTGCAAAGAGAATCGTCTCTGCAGGTCCAGAATTTGGGATGCCTCTATGCCATCTTTCTTTTATGGTCCACTTTGCTTTTAAACACCTGGTATGTGGGAGGCACTCAACCAACGCTAAACAAATGAACGAATAAGCAATGACAATCAGGATTTCTCCGCGGCACACAAATGGACCTTCAGGGCACCGCACCTGGTCTCCTCCTCACTCCAGCCCACGGGGCTGAGGCCCCTGCCGAGACCTAAAAGGCCATCCAGGGCTGGGAACGTGGATCCCCAGGGGTGATCCCAGCCACCCACTCGCTGTGGCTGGAATCAGTGGCTACGGAAGAACCGCCCTGCTGAGCAACAGACACCTCACTTCCTGGGCCTCTCCTCATCACCCACTCCTCCGCTCAAGACCCGAGCTGTCCTGGCTGTCAGAGCTGTGTCCCAGTGCAGCGTCCTCTCAGACCTCATGTGGCTTCTAAGCATGACACTCGCCACTGGGACCCACCCCTCCCCCTGTGCTGCAGCCACCCTGGGCATGACATTCCCCTTTCTGTTTCTGTGTCCTTGCTCCTCAGGCTAGGCGGTCCTCTCCCTTGTCTCTCTCCTTTTCCCCCAATGTTCCCTGAAACTCTATTCACCCCTAGCCTCTGCCACGTCTTCTGAGAAACTTTACTTTGCCCCGTGTGTACAATTAATGACTGATCTCCTGTGGGCGCCCCAGCATTTTACTTAGATGCATTTCTTTATAATTCCACTTGTTTTACTGATAACATAGGAGTTTCTCTGTTTACCCACTAAAGCATGCACACACCCCAGGGGGACCATGCCCTGGCCACCTCTGCAGCAATCCCAGTCCCCAGTGCAAGCTCCTGATTAAGCAAATGTCTACCACGTATTTGCTGAACAAACTGGATCATAAACACACGTGAAGGGTGGGGGGTCAGCAACACGGGTCACGCAGTGCAGAGCTGGGCTTAAATCTTTGCTCTAAACCAGGTTTTCTGGCTGCTCCTACAGGAGGTACCTGGGAACCTTCCTCACCATACGGGGACAGACACTCAGCGGGACGTAAAAGCCCTCCGGAGGGTCAGACCCTCGGGAGAAGAGCCCATCTCCAACTTAGCCCTGTCCCTGCCAGACCCCAGATGTCTCAGACAATGCCTGCCAGAGGTGGCTGTCAATATTATTGAACTGAATGTACCTTCTGAGGACAATTTAGTAGCAGAAAAGCATTTATTGCTTCTTAAGAGCTTAATGGTCACTAATCGATCATGGATTCTTCCAGATTCGCCAGCCAGGGGTATTTTTAAATACCCTGAGTCAGGAAGAGGGAACGGCCGGCCGAGGTCACCAGAGTGGTGAAGGCACACATCCAGGGAGCCCCACACAGCCGGCCTCAGTGAAGAAAAGAGACACATAAACCTCAGCTCAAAAGAACTTTCTAGGCCAGGACAGCTCAGGGGCTCCGACGGGCTCAGAGGACAGCCACAACAGTGCAGGGAGCTGGAGACCCAAGGGCGGCCATGGAGTCCCCTGACTGGTGGTCCAAGGCCCTTCCCCAACCACATCCTCAGACTCTCTAAGAACAGAAAAATCACCCTGAACTAACATGCCTGGTATTAAAAATGGAAAACCACACACTAGGAAAATGTTTGCACTAAATATGATAGAAAAATTGAGTTAATCATAATTTACACAACTCTAAAAAAAATCTATATTCTTTTTCTTTTTTTTTTTGAGGCAGAGTCTCAATTTGCTGCCTAGGCTAGAGTGAGTGCTGCGGCATCAGCCTAGCTCACAGCAACCTCAAACTCCTGGGCTCAAGCAATCCTGCTGCCTCAGCTTCTGAGTAGCTGGGACTATAGGCATGTGTCACCATGCCCGGCTAATTTTTTGTATATATATTTTTAGTTGGCCAATTAATTTCTTCCTATTAGTAGTAGGACGGGGTCTCGCTCTTGCTCAGGCTGGTTTCAAACTCCTGACCTCAAGCAATCCTCCTGCCTTGGCCTCCCAGAATGCTAGGATTACAGGCGTGAGCCACCACGCCCGGCCTAAGAAAATCTGTATTCTAACAGATACACAAACTATTTGAACAGGTAGGGCACACAAAAGGAGAAACAACTATTAAAGGCTTAGGCGATTCTTCAACCTTGCTAATGACCACACATATAATGCAAATTAAAACAACAAGGTGCCATCTTTTACTACTAACCTAGCAAAAATTTAAAAATTATACTCCAAATACTGGCAAAGTTATGATAAAACTACTATTCTCAAATGCTCCTGCCAATAGGGATAAGTACCATTTTAAAAAGTAATTTCTTATTTTTCTGCCCTGTTTTAGGAATTCAAATGCTTGAGATTTAGCCTAAGAAAATAATTCAAAACACATGAAAACAGTTAAGTGGAGGAAAATGATCCCTGTGACAGTATTTATGATCCTGATAAACCAGGGAGAGAAAAACGTCTAGATATAGCAAAATCGCAAATAAGTTTTAACAATTTGATATAACAGGACTTGGCGTACGATGCAATTAGGAAGATGTTCACTTTGCAATGAAGTGAACAGAACGTTCTGTGGTCAGCACAGTTCACCGAAGCCCACTGCGTGCCATGCCCTGCTCTGGGCACGGGGACGCTGCCAGGAGAGAAATTTATCGTCACCACGATTACAACCGTGTACACATGAAAAAGGACTGGAAAAGAATATTGAGAGGCATTGCAGTGCTGGCAGTGAGGTGACTGCCCCTTTCATTTCGTTCATTATCACAGCGATGCAGGCAGCAAACAATAACAGTCAGGGAAATGGAAACAAGATAATGGATCCCGAAACCCTCCCTGCAGTCAGAAGCCGCCTCCATCTGCCGCAGTGCAGGGGGCTCCAGATCAAGCTGGATGATCTCGGCTATTTCTGATCCAGCCCCAGGCGCTGGGGGTGGGGGGTGCTGGCCAGATGCTCCCCAGCGCCCTTCCAGCGGGGACGTGCTGTGAGCGTGTGAGTCACACTTTCCCAGGAGCCTGAGTGCTAAATACCTCCTCCGTGGGCTGGGGAAGAAGGTGACAAAATCTCAGGAGAGGCACAAAGCGAGAGAAAGCAGAGTGGGTGGCAGGAGGGCTAGTCCTGGGCACTATTGGCTGCAGTGTGTGTCCCTGGGCCCTGTGCCACCCCTGCCCCCTGGGATCCCTTGGCTCAAGGATCTCGTCTCTCTCAGGCTCATTCATGGAGCCAAGATGACATGGTGACATGGTGAAGTGACCATGTGGGGTCAGGGCCTGGAAAACAACCCCATCCTCCTCCTCCAGGAAGGAAAGGTAATTCTGGGCCCCCAAGCAGGACCAGGTGACGGCCACTCTCATACTTCCAGGGTCACAAACCTCAGGTGGCTGCCCCAGCCAGCTGCAGAACCAAGAGGAAGTGGCCCAGGGGGACAACCACACTGTCCCTGCTCAGAGTCAGCCTGGTGTTGTATTAGGGAATACAGGCCCTTAGCAGCAGATCTTCTAGAGTTTTCTAAGGAATGCTGAAAAGTCCACTATGTGAAATCTTCCCGTTTTTCAACATTGGCAACTAATTTAAATTTATTTCAAAACACTCTGGGAGCCAAAAACGCTGTCTGTGGATTATACCCCAATCCATTTGCTGTGTTCTACATACAAGGAGGCACTGAGACCTACCGCCAGGTTCCCAGACTCTGAGAAACAGGGTTTTCAATCATGAGGAATCTGTCACCACGTGGTACAGACACCACCAATGCCTGTGCATGGACTTGGAGCAGAACACACCTCCCCGCAGCTGCACTTGGCGATTCATGTCTTCGGCCCCATGGTAGAAGTCTCTACCATGAAGTTAGGCTAGGGTTGTAAGTCAGCCTAGAACTTCCAGTGCCCTTATGAGATCTTACAAACACCCATTCATTCCACAAATTCTTACTGAGCACCTACCGTGCGCCAGCTACTGTGCAAGGAGCTAGAAATACAACAGGCAGCAGTACGACCTCACGGAGCACCTGGTCGTGCGTGAGAATCTAGTCGGGGGCAGGGAGAGGGGAAGAGACGGCTAATAAAATAATAAAACCAAGCGAGAGCTCCTGTGGCACTAACTGCTACAGAGCCGATCTCAAGGTGTCCCTGGGAGTGCTGAGAGGTGGCTTCTTGGGACCTGGAGTTCAGGGAGGCAGGTCTCTCAGCTGAGGGGGAGGGAGAACAGCCTTGACAGACGAGGCAGAGGGAACAGCAGGCACACAGGCCCCATGTGACGATGGCTTTGGACAGTTCAAGACCCAGGAGGGTCGATGGGCACAGCTGCTGTGGGAGGAGAGGCCCCGGCGCCCGTGTTCTGGAGGGAGACTTCCTAAGCGCCGTGCAGCCCCCAGCTGCGGAAGGGGCTCGTGGGACTGCCCCGTGCTGCTGCTCCGCCACGTCACTGTGGAGCCTTGCTCAAACCCATCTCTGCAGCACCCCAGAGCAGCCAGAGCTGTGACCCCTCTACCAGGCTGGCCTGGAGCAATCAGACGAGGGCTCCCTGGGGGAGCATCTGGAACTTTCAGTGACACTGCCCCTTGTCACCAACCTCCAGCAACGCCCTCTCTGAGTGTTCCCAGGATCTACCAAGCATCCTGCTCCTCCCACCAAGAGGAGAGCTGCAAAAGCTCGCCCCTGCAGTCCCCAACCCCAGTACTCATCCGAGGTCTGTTAGGGACCCGCTGCCCACAGTTCTGCTGCCCCCTCCCCCACACCACTGTCCATGGAACATCGTCTTCCACGAAATCAGTCCCTGATGCCAAGAAGGTTGGGGACTGCTGCCTGACATAGCCAGGACACACATACACACACACACACACACACACACACAGTGTCACAAGTACATGCCCCTCGTTCATCTCTCATCGTCACACTGCA